GGCGGCGCTCGCAGATCCGCTCTGGTCCCACGCGGCCAAAAATGCCAAAACGCGCGATGTCGTCAACTCTATTAACTATCCTCTTGATTACTGATCTCTGCTGATTATAACTCAGATCACGAAAATTTGAGAATTCCTCTCACAACTATTGAATTATTTCTGTCTGTTCGCTGGAAATTCGCGAGAAAAAATTCTGATTGATTATTAATATGATGGAGGTCTCCTATCGCTGTATCCTCTCTGCTTCTATATTTCATGGTTTTAGTGATTCAGTTCACTGCGGCGCATTTTCGCCATTCGTTCTGTTCGCGGCCACCATCGATGAATTTATGAGTTAATGAGCTTCACACTGATGAACTTTTAAGAGCGATTGATGGCCGTAATTGATCGACAGGATTTATCGCAAAACCTTATCTGGCCTGGGAGTTTAGAGAAAGGCCCAGCAAAAAGGAGCAAAAATGATAACTACATTCAAAAGATTGTGTACTCCTTTACAGCCATCTAGCCATGATCACAGGAAGTAGTCTCATGAAACACGTTCATGTTTTGTGAAGATAACATTGTCGATGTGCTGAAAATTCCTTTAGCACTCAACTGGCTCATCATTTGGAGGGTTGGAGTCGTTAAGGAAGGATTTTCGATAAGGACGAAGTTGACGATGAGGGAATTTACCTAGTGGCGACAGGCGGACCTCCTAAGGATGGGGACTGACGCGCAATTCGCATGGAAGGATATGCACTCGGCGATCTAGCATGGCCCTCCCGCGGCGCTATTATTGGCGCGGTACGCCCCTCTCGCTGTCTGATCTCTAGCCGTTCAGCAGAGAGAGCGTTAGCGTTGAAGAGGGCAGCACCGATGAGAGTCGCATCAATGCGGAAATCAACGGGCAAGAAGGGTCCCATTTCTCGGGTTCTAGGCCGTTTTTCATGGTTTTTTCTTCTTTCGTGCATCACTGACCATCTCTAACTTAATTTCCAATGGGCTGCCTTTTCATCGTAAAATCTGCCTTTAACTGTAGCGGAGAGATGTAGAGGGGAATAAAAAATACTGCTTGAAGTGAAAACAAAAAAATATTCTTGACCGTGGATTGGTGGAAGCGTTGCAACTATTGTGACTTTGTTTACGAAGATCTTATCAGTTTTTTCTTCTCTAGTTGAGCTTCTTACGTTCTGTACAGTTCCATAACGACGATTAACACCCATATTTCATTGACTTGTTTCAAATGTGCCTACGGTTTCTGGCTTTGAGCTATGGAAGCTATAGAAAATTTCCTATCAGATTTGTGAGGACGAAATACAGGCAGACGAGCACATTGCTCGCTAACCCACTATTGTAGGTCAAACGGAATCCTATTTGCATGAAATGTTTGTCTATCAAAACTTCGTCAAATCTTGTGCATTGGGGAAAAAGTATGACATAGTCCCTGTCACACCGCA